AGACGGAGAAAAAAAGGAACAAGACAAAACAAAAACAGCAGAAAAAATAACAATGACACGTGGCATTAAGACCGATGACAGCGGAAAATGGCAGCTGTCGGAACTTACATTCATCATTGCGGGTGTTGTATATAATTACTTCAAATACCGGGTACCAGGTAAATTTTAGTATATGTCTGTCTGGTTTCACCGTCAACATTAGATTCTGAATTAAAATTAAAATTGATCATGATCTGGTGTGACAAAGTTTCAACTGGAAATATCATTATTAACATTACAGGAAAAAATTAGTTAGCTCTCAAATAGAAATCAATAGTATTTCCTGGTTAGACCCCAAATGTAATTTTAAATGGTTTTTGTACTGGACCAAAAATTTATTTTAAGATTTATTGTTCAAATTTTTCATAAAAAATATAGATATATAAATTATATTATTTTGAAATCCACTCAAAATTAACTTTGTTAGCACTCATTTAAGTAGACACTATAATTGCACATTGTTATTTGTTTGATTTAATATGTGAGCTATTTGAGGCGAAATTTATTTTTAATTTTAGTTTAATATAGTTATGTTGTTAAATATACAAAGAATGAATAATATCGTTTTCAATAGTATTATTACTCAATACTGTCTTTCAATAGTTTATCAGTTTATAAAAAATTATAGGTTTTTTCTTAAATTTTAAACTAGACTGATACCTTATGTAAAAGAAATACTAAAAAATGGCACCAAAGTCCAAATCTGGTGAAATTAATTAAATTTTATTAAATTTTGATATTTAAAGTTTTAGTGGTTATAATAATTAAATTCAGATTTAATAGAATTGACCTTCGTAGAAAATATTTATCCTTATAAAAAAATTATTAGCCTTTTCATGCGGATTTTAAAACCAATTTTTATATAAAATTAAAAAGACACGTATTATTTTGTTAGGTATTTTTCCAAACCACGTTTTTTAAACTTAAAAACAGTTAACTTGGATATAATGAGAAGATTGGTAATTTAAAAGAAAAATAAAAACAGGGAAGGACGAGATGAATAATTTTCCTTACATAAAATAAAATGAAAATTTTAGAAGTTAGTTAATTATTTACTACATCTAATAATAATAGAAACTAATAATAATATATGATTTATTGGACCACATTTATTGGCTCTATACAAAGTTGTTGCTCCTTTTTCAGTGCTGGGCCAAAATTTCTTTGTGTCGGCAGAAAGCGAAGTTCCCCGGTCTGAATATAAACAAAGCATGTATGCTTTTATCTAAAATATATTTTACGAGAGAGAAAAAATAGTGTTTCTAGAGAAAAATAATAATATCTAAAAATATTAGAATAATAAAATGTAATATAAATTATAGATTTAATATATTTATTGATATATTTTATTTTCAATATAATAAAAAAATACAATTTCAATACAGAAATTTTAAATCTACTAATTTTGTTTGAATTCAAGATAATTGAACTCGTATGTTTATTATTTACAATAAAAGAAGAAATAATATGCAATTATCAATAAATGAACTACTAAAGGTTTTATATTTACAAAGAGAAAACAAAAAATAAAAGGTTATTTTCAAGAATAGTTGCATAATAACTAACATTATTCAATAAATACTTCTGATTATTACTAAAGGTCAAATATTTGTTCAATTATCTTACTTATTACCAAAATTTAAATAAAATTAATAGAATTAAGTTTTTGTTCTAATATAATAATTTTTTTATTGTACTAAATATAAAATATATCAATACTGCTAATACTATTTATACTTATGTTAGTTATGGCTTCTATCTTACGTGGAGAAATGGTTAAAAGTATGTAGAACTTTTATCAATTATCTATGGGTTTAGAATTATACATTAAATAGGCTCAGTAACAGCAAAAAATGGTTTTATTCATGGATTTAAAGTTCAGTGATAGAGTGAATTTGACAGGATTTGAAAGTAAATTTTTTGTTGTTTATTTAAATGAATTTGGAGGTAAGTGAGAATGGATTTCGAAGTAAAATTTGGGAGAATTAGTGTAGGATTTGATTGATGTAACAGATTAAAAAAATTTACTTCCAAATTCACTCTCACTTATCTCCAAATCTACTCAAATAAACAACAAAAAAATTACCTTCAAATCCTCTCAAATTCATTCAATCACTCTCTTCCAAATTCATTCAAGTAAACAAAGTGAAAGAGAAAAAAAAGAAAAATTACTATATTATTTTCGGTAATTGTATCGTCATGTAGAATTACGAGGAAGGAGAAAGTTACCTCTTATTTTACTTTCTTTAATATTTTCCATTTTCTTATTTGGTTTGATGTGTTCTTATTTGGTTTGTTTTATTTTGTATAATTTTATGCATTGTTTATGTACTTGTTGGAGATTCTTTTCTATCCTTTGTTATCATATTACATTTCTTTATTTGGTCTAATGGTTTTTCCTTTTGTATTGAGAAATTTTCCATGTCAAAAATATTTTTATTTTATTTGTTTTCTTTATGTACTCTACTTTTATTGGTATTCCCATGTGTTTTTGTAAGTTGGGACAATTTTATTATGCTATTGCTCTATTGTTGTAACTAAATTTGTATTTGATATATTTTTTCATCATAATGACAGAGAAATTTTTGTTAAAGAATTTTTTTAATTGAATGATGGAGATAAAATAGTTTTTTTTAGTGGAGCAAATTATTATTTGAAAGGATTATATGAAAGATCTGTTATTTGTGAAGAATATGTATTTTCTTATATTTGGTTTCCAATGAGTTTTTTGAACATCAACAAACATATGGTTTTTTTTTAAATATTTTGTTGGTGATGTATAGAATCTTATTATTCATGAGGCATATTAATAATAGCGTAGGATAAATTGGAATTCTTAAATTATTCTAAACGAGATAACAAAATATTTGTACTTAATAAAAATTTTGTAATAGAGGTGCTTTCTAACCTTAACTTTATTCTTTGTGATAGTAACTTTTTGGTTACTTTTAGTGTTTAATTAATCATTCTTTAAGACAGATTAACAATTAGACGTTAAGATCTTTTGATCTAAACCAATAACTTGTGTAAATTTCTTCTTTTCCTACCATCTTTATCTTTATGATTGTTAATTATAAAGAATCAATTTTATTTATAAAATCAATTTATAAAAAGGTCAAAATTTTAAAAGGAAATTTTTTTTATTAAAGAAACCAATTTAATTCCCTCTTGATTTTTGTCCACAAGCAAACATTATGTTGCGGGATTCTAATAGTAGCAAAGTGCATGAAACCAGGGGGAGTTATTGGAGGCATAGAGTTTAGGGCTCACAACACTGGATATGTGAAAGTTAGGATTTGTTCTAAGAGTCACCAGATTTGCAACATGGGCCACTAGATTTGCAATGACAACCGATGGATCTTTAACAGAGACTATCAAATTTACGATGACAAGCCACCAAATATGTGACAATGAGCCACCAGATTTGCAACAATGCACCATTGAATTTGCAATGACGAACCACCATGAGACACTGGATTTGCAATGATACATCACCAGAGCTCAAGTGGGAACCACAATTGGAGTGATAACAAAAACAAACACGAACCACTGTTGCTTAAATGTTGAGGCACTCGAACAATTATGAGAAGGAGGTTTATGAATGCAAGAGTTTGGAACATGAATGAAAGTTTTGAATGCATGAAAATTGGAAGAGAATGAAGGAAAATTAAGGTCTATGAACACACAATGGAAATGAAGGAAGAGAGACTTTCAAAGTACAAAAACTAAGAATGAGAAAATGGGAGACCAAACATCCTGGTTTGAATAAAAAGGGAATACTACATTGGTTCTCCAGTATAACTATTGTGGTATATATTTTAAGAAATTAAAAAATATATTACATTGGTTCATCTAACAATGGATGTTATATCGTTTCCAATATTTACAAAAATGTCATCACATAAAAAATTACATTGTTTCTTCAAGATTGTTTCTTCAAGAACCAATGTTATATCCTATTATAATATCTATATTTTGCACTAGTGTGGGGAGAAAATAATTGGTGCAACTTATGATAGAACCTATGATAAAGCCTATTGTGAAACTTATAATGAGCCTATGATAGAGCTTATGATTCAGTTTTTTATGTGCAACATGTTGCTTAGTTGTAGTTTAAGCTTATGATGATTAATCATAATAATATTTGTATTGTGAATGAATATTCTCTAGTTAAGAATCTAGATGATGGTTTGCACGTGGAATTTGACTCCTTGACTGATATGCCTTATTTGGAGAATGTCATTTCCATTGTGAATAGTTTGGAGAGATTACAGTAATTAGATTAAACTCATAATAGTTCAATAACAGTTATTAGTCATATGACATACAAAAACACTTATTTTGTAAAAAAAATTAAAAATAACTTCTAAATGAACTAATATATTTGATGATAGAAAAGATTCTAATACTAAATATGATGAATCGCTTTAAACTATTAGAAAATTTTATATGGGTAAAAAAGTTAATATTAAATACTTTAAAGAAAAACTTCTAAAAACTTAAAAATATTCTTTTGTTAGATGTAAGAAGATTGACTAATAATAAATTTTTTAATATATTGACAATTTTTTTTCTGATATAAAATTCAAAGTATAAAATAATTTTAGCAAAACATATTGTAATAATTTTTTTTGGACTATGATTTATTTTTATTATATGTTTAATTTGTTATTTCGTTTTTTTTCTTTTTTTTAATAAAATATTAAGTCAAATATGAGTTTATTTAGAATTTAAAATTAAAAAATATAATTTAAACGATAATTTTGATAGTTAAACGAAATAATAAATTTTAAAATAAAATATTTTAATATTTCTTAATTTCGAGAAAACTAAATTGGTGATTTGTTTGTATATTTTATAAATAATTTAAAATAAAGAAATAAATGAAAAGGAAAATCCAAGTAAACTTCTAAAATCTTGTTTTCTGTGCTTTCAACTCTAATTTTGAAACTAACCAACCAATCACACACACCGTGTGACTCACTCACCCTTTCATTACATTTTCACACATAACAAAACCAACTCACTGCTCTTCTCTCGAGAAGCCCCGACCCGGAAAATGCGAGCCAAATCGGAGCCCGCGGCCCAGCCTCCCTCCTCCTCCGCCTCTGGTGGCGCTTCCTCCGGCGCGTCGCTGGATCCGATCTTCCACCTCCTCCGGGTGCTGCCCTTCAGTTTCCTCCGCCCCCCGCGGCTCCGCCTCAAACTCCCCTCCCTGACCCTCCCCTCCCCCAACGCCGTCTTCGCCCTCCTCCTCCTCACCTATTTCATGGTCGTCTCCGGCATCGTTTACGACATCATTGTGGAACCTCCCGGCATCGGCTCCATGCAGGATCCCTACACCGGCTCTGTGCGCCCCGTCGTCTTCATGTCCGGCCGCGTCAACGGGCAGTACATCATCGAAGGCCTCTCCTCTGGCTTCATGTTCGTGCTCGGCGGCATCGGCATCATTCTCCTTGATCTCGCGCTCGACCGCAACCGCCCGAAGTCCGTCAAGGTCTCCTACGCCTCCGCCGGCGTCTCCTCCGTCGTCCTCGCTTACGTTATGAGCATGCTCTTCATCCGCATTAAGATCCCCGCCTATCTCAGATGAACTCGTGCGCTTTAAGTCATTTGTAGTTTCACTTTTGATGAGGTTTCGTTTTCGCGGTTTCTAGGGTTGATGGAATTACATGGATATGGTAATTGGATCTGATTTGGTGTTATTTATATGGAATGTACTTTTTGGAGTAAAATTATTGTGTCACAGCTGAGTTTTCTTGTTTGTTTGACGTGCTCTCTGAATGTGATTTGTGCGTGTTGTTCGGATCGTGGTCAGTGTTAATTGTGGATTGCGGCATGTTTGTTTAGGGGCAATCGTGTTTGGTGAACTGCCTCGTTCTTATACACTTAAACACCCTATTTAGTGTTTGGATGTTTTCTTCATTATTACTATGAGGCGGTTAGATTAGGGATTGCAGACAATTCTAGGAGAAAAAAAAACTTGACATTGAAAATGGAAGTAGCGATTCCATTATGGATTGGCTGATTGTGTTGTGTGTGTGAGCTTTATCTATACTTTTCTTTTTAGTTGTTGTGGGATGATCTTGCTCTTGTTGATATGGTGTGTGTGTCCCTCTGTTTTGTGATTGAATGTCCTGCATTCTTCTTGCTTCAATTACTTAGAACAATAGTGGCTTGTGTTGTTGACCGCTACAAACCCACAATAGGCCTCTCTTGTACCAAGTAAATCTTCACTACTTTTCCTGTAACACTATGCTAGAATCCAGGTACTTCAAACATCAATTTTTGTCTTTGTTGTATTTTGAACATTAGACTTGTTTAGATGAACTTCTCAATAAACACTTTTAGGAGAAGAAAATAAGAAAAAGAAAATGAAATAAGTTTCTCTAATAACTAAAAGTAGTTTATAATATGTTAGAAATCGTCATTTAGTGAAACTAATATGAGAAATCTTTTACAGATTAATTTATGCACAAGATGATTTAACCTAAGAAAAATCTTATTTTAATTCTTTTGTTCTTTTCTTCATCTAGAATATTTATATAGAAGTTTATTCGACCATACCTTTTATAATAATCTTTCTTTCTTATATATGTCCTGGGATATTTGCAGCAGCAGAAAGTTACTTGATTATTGCTCACCCCTGCTGTTGATAATTATCATCTGGCTAATAGAAGGTGAAAATCTCCTCTTTAATACCCAGTTGATATTCCAAAGAACTTGCAATAGAATTCTAAGAGTGCAAGATTATTTTTTTTTAGTTTCACTTTCATATGATCTAAGTCAAATTCAAATCAATCAGTTATTGCAGTTCTTTCCTCATTACCAAAAGGCTTAACTCAAGTGGGACCAAGTTCTTTCTCACTAAGGCTTATTGGCCTCCACTTTTGCCTTCAATCCTAGTTCCCATACCAAGCCTTAGATCTCATTAGTAACCCTGAAATCAAAAGTTTAAAAATGACCACGCAAAAGGATTTTTGGTCTTGATTAGGTTTGCTCTTTTCTTCCCTCATTGTCTTTCTCCATCCTCTTTGTTGCATTTTGTTACACGACAGATTCCCCTTGGCTATGGAACTAATTTTCCTCTAACTTCCTCCCCACCTTGCATCCCACATGGTCCAGCATAGGGAGTGGCAAACCGGGGTACTACTGAGTTTTCTGGGTAATGTCTTCTCAATATATAGAACATGATTATTGTGATAGAAGTTGTGATTGAAACAAATATTAAATTCGTGTATATGCTGTCTTTCAGCTTTTTGGAGGAAGATTTAGGTTACAAATTAATTATGACCTGTGAAAGTCAAGCCTGTAGCGGTAAGGTTTGTAATCAATTTCATTATAACAAATAAATGTTATATTAATAGCCAATAAACCATGTCAACTTTACCGATATGAGGATTCCTCGCAATCAGTAATCCAATTGTTCTTCACCCGGAGATATATATCTCTTTCTTTGAGTGCGTTATGTTATATTGTTCCTAAGTTTGGCTTGTTGGCGTTTTGTAGTTTGTCTATAGATACCTTCTTTTTCATTTTTCTTTTTTTACATTTCTAAACCTAGTGACTGTGTGATCTGTTGTATACTCTTGCTTTTTAATGCTTGATATATGGTACTCGAATATCCTAATTAAGGGATCTTGGTGGCATTATGTTTCAGTGCTTACTAGTGTGCATACAAGTAGTTGTTTTTTTTTTGTTTTTGTTTTAATTTGTATTAAAAAATTTAATATATTTAAATAAATTATTTATTTATATTATTATATTTAAGTGTTATAATTATGTATAATTATAAATATAATATTTAGATAAAGAGTTGAATAATATGAAAAAAACTAAATAATTAATTATAGGTTTTTTTTATAACAAATTAATTAAAAAATATTATTATTTTAATATTGATTTTTATGTTAGAGTAATAGATTATAAAAATAATAGGAATAATAATAATATAATAATAAGATTAAAAAATAATATTTAGATATTAATTTGTTTATTTTAAATTGACACAATTAATTAGTGATGTGTAGTAAAACAATATTGTTATATGATTAAAATTTACAATTAAACTTTTGAGTCATATATTATATTAAAATTAAATATACATAAATCGTTATTAAAATAAAATGTAGACATATTGAATAATATGTGAAATGTAATCCTTATTCAAAAAGGTTAGAGAAAAATGAATTTGAGATTAATATTTTTAAATAAAAATATATGTAGATATTGTTATCGGACATTAAATTTATAATAATCAGATATTAATATGTATGTACTTGTTTATCTTTTTTGTTTAGAATGATAATATTGAGATTAACCAATAATATTTAGATATTATAAAATTTACATAATAATTTATTAGTGATGTTTATATTAAAGTGAAATGAGTATATATGAATGACTGTTCAAGTAAAACGTAGACATATAGCATAAATTTGATATTAAAAATTATGAATAGAAACATCGTAGATATAGACGAAGAAAAATATATTGAGAGATATTGGCATCTGAAATTAATATTAAGATTAAAAAATAACATTTTAATATGAAATTTGTATTAAATTATAAAATTACCATAATAATATATTAGGGATATGTAATTATATAATTAAAATTTAGAATTAGACCTTTTAGTTAAATATTATATTAAATAAATTTTTTATCATAAATTCATGGAATAGGAATTATTTGTTACTAATAACAACACCAATGATTTTAATTTATATTATGAAAGATAATATAATTATTAGTATGTTTAAATAAATAAGTTGTTTATATAATTATATTTAAGTGTTATAATTATAATATTTTAATAAAGAGTATGATGATATAAAAAAAATTAATCATGAGTGTTTATCATTTTAAACAAATTAATAAAAGATAAATATTATTCTAATATTGAATTTTTATATTAAAATAATAGATTATAAAAAGTACAATTAATAATACCAATATTAAAAATTGTAATGAATTATAATAATAATATTAATAATAATTAATTTTTTATGTACTAACTTTAAGTATAGTATAGTAAATAACGAGAAAAATGAATATTGTTTGGTATTTATTTGTTAGGAAATGATTTAATACCAATTTTAGTCTATATTTTGTTAGGTGTGTTTAAAGTGATATTATTTTTTTTTTCCGATGTTGTTCCATATTTTGTAAAAGCAATTCAAGTAGATTTTTTTTGCTTATGGAGTTTAAAACACTAACTTATAATTGTCACCCTAGCAAAATACGAATGAGTTGTCCAATTAGTGATTGCGTGAACAAGCTCAGCCAATGAGAAACTGCCACGTGGTAGTCCTCTTCCTTTCCAAATCAGAGATTCGCACAATTGCATAATGGTGTTTGCAGCACGAGATATGTTCTCTCCTTCTTGAACTAGGATTTTCAACCCTCATATGTGACAACGACTGGTTCTTCCATTGCATGAAGAAGCTCGCGGTGGTGTGATTAAAGGAGATTTCTATGTTGTGGTTCCTTCTCTGTTTGTAGGTCCGGAGATTAATGGAGATAATGTTCGCGTTTCTTTTGCGATGAAGAAGATAATGCTGCGAAGAAGGAGATGTTTATTGGACATGGTGGTTCGCAAGAACGCGATATGGGTTCTTCAAGTTCGTGGAGAAGACGAAGATGGAGGAGAATTGCTTGCGGCGCAAAGGTGATGAAGGAGATGAACTTGCCGTTGCGGCGCGATTTAGGTTAGTGCTTTCGAATGTTGGCCGTGGAGGTTCGAATTAGGCGATTTAGTTTTTTGGGCTTTTTTGATTTCTATGCTGGTTTTGAATCTAGGGAGAAGGAACTCACAATTAGGGTTCGAAGGGGTGAATCACGGTTTGGGATTTTTCTGCAAGCACCGTCACAATTGAACGAGCATGGTTACGGTGGAGGCGAAACACGATTTAGGGTTTGATGCATTTCTGATTTTGTGCAAGTCGTCATGAATTTTGAAGGTGCATAGTAAAAGTGGGTGGTGGTTCTACAATTCGGAACGAAGACGATATGATGTTCACGCAAGGAGGTTGATGGCGTGGTGGCTATGGAGGTTTGATTGCGCGAGAAGATGAACTTGTGGTGGCACTAATGGCGGCATGGTCGCCATATGGTGGCGCTTTGTATGAACCTTAACCCTTTCCTTTTACTCCATCACTTCAACTTTTAACATTTCCACATATTTTGTCAAGTCAATTGACCTGAACTTGCCACGCAATCACGGACAACTCATTCACTTTTCGCTAGGGTAATAATTACGCTAAGGTGACAATTACATTATTAACGTTTTTAACGTCGTAAGCAAAAAGAATTATTTGAACCGTTTTTACAAAATATAAAACAACTATAAACATCTAAAAAAAGTAGGATAATTTTGAAACACTTAACAAAACTAAAGACAAAAATTGATATTAAGCCTTAGGAAATTTATGCGTTTTGCTTTTTGTCTCCATTTTCACCATCTTCAGCGGGTGCAGATAAAGTCTCAAAAATACAGTGCAGTGGATTGTAATAAAATTCTGCTAAAACAAAACAGTACAACAGATAAAAGAAGTACCCTCGCATAAGTGCATAAAGTTTAATTAAGAGGAAAATATGAAGCGCCTGCATCAAAATCCAACACAGAAGACATTCAGAAGTTCAGGGCTTACATGGATAGTCAATCACTACAAAAATTTACAATTTTACCAGGGGTTATTTTTTTCGTTTCCGGCGGTTTTAACCCCCGGAAAAT